GTCACATTCACAAGTGAATATTCACACATATCCTAATGTTTAATGATTACCTAATTTTCTTTTCTGACTTGTGTCACATTCACCGGAATGAGGAATTCACTTGAAAAGAGGAATTATCTATTCAGCATACAAAAGCAAAAAAAAAAAAACAATACATACCCCAACCAACAACACAAAATTTCAGAATGTATTTCCGCACATAGGTGTTAAAGACTTTCACAAGGGCCAGGTACATGTGGAAAGCTTCCAGACCCATCCAGGTGAAGGAAACCAAGAGGAAATAGTGAAGCAAAACTGCAACTGCAATGCACAGGCCTCGTGTGTCATAGAGTGCAATCCATGAGTCCAGGAGAAAAACTAAGTTGAGTAGAAGTAATGCAGCACACAGCTGAATAAGTATTTTGGAGGGATAGTCTCTCCGAATTTTCCTAAAAAATAAAAAAAAAAAAAGCAAATTAGTGACATGACATCAATTGTTAATGGATCCCTGGTTTACTTTGTCTCTTGTAGTCCTTAGTGAACAAATGCCAATATATTTTCATTCATATACAATGCTTCATATGTTGTATTTATACAGGGAGAAGATAATTAACAACCTAATTCCAAATTAGTGGTCTGTATGAATCAAGTTTTTTAGAAATAATAAACAAACAATAACTTGGAGTCTTAGTGTTTAGTACCATGGTAATTTTTTTTTTTTACACTGTATATTGGACTTCTTGTTACAGTACTTCCCAAACCCAAAATGTGACTGTTCTTTGCTGCTAAAATAGATGAGGCTTTTGACTGGGTGTCTGAAGACAAGATAGAGACAAGTCCCAGCCTTAGAATAATGAAGAATAAACAAAGAATACTTATTCTTTTCAAAATGCTAAAATTCTGCACTRTTTCATATACGTTGTATCTTAAACACATTCTTTCACACTTTTATTATGGTAATCCATTATAAAATACTTCAGAGTATTTCTTCACTTCTTACTGCATAGAACCTCAGAATAATTCACTTGTTCATAAGATTTAACATTCCTGAAGACAGAATCAACACCTTCCTGGTAAAGTGGCCAAATCTGTGCATTATTTGTGGAGGCATAATCCATAACTGATGGAAAGGACTTTGCAGCAAAGACTACAAAATCAATCCCAACTGAAGAGTAATGGGAGCTCAGCTGAATGGGTACTTACTCAAAGGCTATGTAGGTCACAAGAGTCACAGAAAGAAAAATTGCAGAGAGGCCACAGCCTATATATGATATAAAAGTCAGYACCAATTCTTGTGTGGGATTCAAAGGTAGTTTTCCATACACGTCCTGAAACAGAAACAGAAGTTAATGTCAGAGAACATGWTTATTTAATGGAAAAAGATAAAACCCCACCAAAATAAACCAAAATGCACCTTTCCCTCTGCACTTAAAAAAATGAAATCCATTCTTCTCACTATGACTCTTMTAAAAGGTTAGATGAAAAACAAAAAAGCCAAGCTAGTCCTGTAAAAAGTGGGGAGTTGGACTCCATGACCCTTTCTCAACTTGAGATATTATTTCATGATTCTATGACTTTAACTGTGAAAACCCCTTTGATTAAAAACCTGTTTTAAATTTGATTTAKCCTAAATTTTATTTCTTAGAATATAAATAGCTGCCTAAATGYAAAAGCTGCAGCACTTAATAAATTCTTTCCTCATGGATTCCCATTTAACAAGCAGTTTAAGCACAGGACTAATTGTATAACTATTTGTACTAACAGTGAACAGAACATGAGCACTAATTATTAGGTAATTTGTGCTTATTGAGTCCTCACTTGTTTAAGATAACRTAAGGTTAAATGAGTTCTTGAATAATGGAGAGATTGCATAATATTTAAAATAATTACCATCAAAACTGCAAAACTTGTGAGGTGGTTGCATGAACAGACTGTTTCATTCACTCTGCTTTCTTTAACTATGCAACCTTCATAAGACCAGCCTCCATGTCCMCCTGGKAAAGAAAGCAGCTTTGTTATTCAGAAAAGGCTTTTTCATATTAATGAGTTAACACAGCCAAAACAGCATCATTATCTTGGTGATATCAAGTACTTACCATTTTTATTGAAGTCCCAAAAAMCACATCTAACTGTTGAATTATCCTGTTCAGGAGGTAAAAAGCAAAACAAAATTACTGAGCTATGAGTTTAGGATCAAATGATTTTTGAATTACCTACAAAATGCAGGCAAGAATAAACACTGTATACAGCAAATTATGTCTGTTCTACATGAAAGTTAATTTAGGTGCATAGAACGGATTAATGGTGCAAACTGCATTTGTAAAAATGTAAAAATATGSTGAACAAATTTGAAATCACCATAGAGGAGCTAGCTCTCATGCTTATACAAAGATTCTGGTCCTGGCAGAACCTTTTGAATGCTCTTTCATGGTCTTCCCACACTATACAAATCCTTGGGATTTCTCATCATCCCAGACTTTGCAACTTTTGAAGTCATGACCACACAGAAAAGGAAAAACCTTTTCATTTGCAAATTATTTGATCATTTCTTACTATCATGTTTACATATAAATTTCCCCCCCACACACATTTTTAGAATGCAAATTCTAAAAATACCCACGGCAATKCACTTATGTTGCTATAAATACAAATACTTCTACATTTATATCTCAAAACTCATTGTTATATGAAAACAAGTAAAGATGCCACTAAGCCAGCTACTGAAAAAAGCTGCAGGTGCATTAGTGGAATATCTTCATTTTTCAATTTATAATATTGTACTATTTTAAACTCTGTTAAGGTAGGGGATAGAAGCCTTTAATCCTTGATGCTCATTTAAGAAAGATGTAAGAAAAGAAAGTTTAAAGAAAGAAGAAGAAWAGAAGTATTTAAGAAAGTGTAAAAGAGCCCTAATACTTCCAGATGACACAATCCTGTGTTTCAGTTCCCCTAAGAAAAAAGGGGAATATATTATTTATTATATATAATTATATATATTAAATATATTTTATATATTACATATAATAATATATTATTATATATTATTATCTATAATAAATATAATTATATATTATATATATATATTATTTTCAGGCCATGCAGCACCTAAAACATCAAGACTGCAGCATCTTCCATAGTAACCCACACTGTCAGTCTTCCATCTGAGAGTTTTTATTCTTCACAGAATAAAAGAGAAGGGTTAAGTAAGAAAGATAAAAGCTGGATGCATAAGTGATAGAGCAAAATTACCTTATGCTATTTGAGAAGCAAAATTTAAACCAGTGGTAAATAAGCAAAAAGAGTGATTTTCARTGTCCAGGTGGAGATGAAACACCCACACCAGTAAAGCACTACAAAKTGATCTGTATTAATTCAGTATTTCCTCTACAACAGCTTCCCTGGAGGCATTAAAACTGTAGTTTAACTCTGCCAATATGTAAATCATACCTGATTAGGTCTGATATTCTGCAAAATGACMGTAACATTCGCCTTTAAGTTACTAAATGTGAGGTTAGCAACACTTGATGATATAACACTACTGATTAAAGATGCATTCTTCAAGGACAGATCCTGGAATGACAAAAAAAGCACCAGATTTTAAAATCTAATGGAAACAGAGTACAGAGCTCACAAGCTCAGTTTACTATGTGGTATTAGCACTGGACAAAATTAATTATTTTTTAAGTCAGAAGCTTTAAAATGTGTTTAGAGGAGGAAAAAAATCCATATTTTGCTCTAACATTGAGATAACAAGCCTTTTGAACAGTGGRCCAAAAAATTACCTGGAACACAGTGGTCTTTTTGAAGAAGTTGAATATAATTCTAGAAGCCAAATTCAACTTTTCAGCAGGTAAATTTGTCAGCAATGATGAAGGAAGTATAATTGATCCAAGATTATTTGAATTCTGAATTGCCTTGGCTTCTCCTAGAGAGACCTGAAAAAGAAACACCAGGATTACGTTTAGCTTCAACTAAATAAATTATAATTTATTTTCAGTTTAAAACTTCAAAATACACATTTCTGTGTCACAAATTCAGGGTAGTTTTTATTCCTCTCCTGCTCCAATGCATAAATAGCAAATACAGGACTGAAAAGATGAATCCCATTCCAGGTCTGAAAGGAATCTGGCTTTACCCATTTGCTTGCAGGGTACACTACACACCACTGTGTAAGAATYTTTATACTGCACAGGAACTATGTCAGAATGCAGAAAAAGTGTAAATATCCATTATTTGTCAACCCATTTGTAASTTCTGTAGGTTAAACAGAATCTGAGAAATAAACCCTTTTTGATCAGCTGGCAAAAATTTAAAAAAGAAACTGAATAATCTACAATCCAAGTATCTCCAGGGCATAGTGATTTAACATTGTACAAAAAAAAAATCTGAATTTTCACCCATTCTGTGTGCTGTGCTCATAGCCCASAGAGCTTTGTTTAGTACAAAATCTTTCAACATTCTCAATACACATTAGTCCTTTACCTACAAATACAATCACCTTAGATGTATATTACACATCATATAATGTACAATGAAACATTAGTACTGCAGAAAGAAATTAGCTGAGTATTCAAAGAATGGTTGTAACAAGAGTAACAGTGTGAACTCCCTACAATGCCCAAAGCACTCTTTGGTTTAACTCTGCTGTTTATACCAGGGCACTGCAAACATTTTGGATCATGCATCCCCTACAAGTTTTTGAGCATACCTAAATTACATGTATGCAAGTTATAAAATACAAAAAATAAAAAAAAAAAAAAAAGAATTGGATCATGCATCCCCTACAAGTTTTTGAGCATACCTAAATTACATGTATGCAAGTTATAAAATACAAAAAATAAAAATCTTTTAAGGAGAATAAACACTATTTTTAGAAATTTATTTTTTATTTATTGACCATCTAGGTAACATTTTCTTCCTGCGCTGCAATGGACTGTCATGTGCATACCATGGGGTATGTAAAACCATGCAAAACACTTTAAAATGACAATTTGCAAGTYTGACAATTTGTAAATATTTAGAATTATAAATGTTTAACCTGGAGATCAGCTGAGTCCTGAACAGCAAAAGACATTTGGAAGGAGCGGGTTCTGTCGGTTTTGACAACTGCCAGAGCCAAGGAAGGGGAGACAAATTCWGCAGGTGATGTTGATAAATTCAGTTTTAAGCCAATATAATCCACCAGTTTTATAATTCTGTTRAGAAAAAAGTATACTTAGTATTACCAAGCACATACATCCAAAATTCTCTGGCAAGTTATGGTTATGGAGCAATAATCTAAATGTAGCATAAAATGCTCACTTCTCATGGTGTGAACACAAAAAAACCCCAATGTTTTCCATAACATTGTATTACAGCAGAGCTGGTAACATTACAATKATAGTCCTTCCACTTTGAATAACCMCATTAAAGAACAAGACACATTCTCCTGGATKATGATTATGGAAATGTGGAACTTGTTGAAGCCAATTTATCAAGACAGTAAATACAAAACTCCTGTGATCTACTGCCAAAATGACCTACCTGTTAGAAATTCGTGATGGTAACAACTGAGAAGCAGTGAGGATACTGTTCACCTCACTAACCATCCTTCCCACATCTTTGGGCTCCACTTTTCCAGCTGCTAAATCATTTTCTATTTTGGACACRATTTGCTCAGCTGTGGCTACACTCATGGTGGTGTGGACAGAGGTTGTATTTGTGGGAGCTGAAACTGTTTTTCCTGTGACAAATGAACAGTTAAACATAGAGTTCAACAAATGAACAAACAAAAMAATTAGACAGTTCTCTTGATTTAAAAAACATATCACTACTTGTAAGGTTTCTCAATGAGTTGTGCAATTCGTCCTTATCAGTAATTTCAATCTCATGAAAACATGTTTTAAATTCAAAACAATTTGAAAGGAAGGTTTCAAATTGCCAACATTAATTCTATGTTTTATTGATTTCAAACTTCCCTACATCAGACCATTAATATATTAAATAACCCATTATTTTGAATTTTTAGCCACTGAATGCCTGAAAGTAGAATAAACTCAAACATAGTGYCAGAAATTTGAAAAGACACTTGTAAAGATGTGCACAATCTTCATAAGCAAATAAATAGCCACTAAGAAACATTCACASTCAGTAACAATTCTTTAAGGATAGACCAATATTACTTTGCAATATTTTAAATATTAGGTTAGTTAAAAAATAAATCTACCTTGCTCACTGAGTTATTTTTTTCTGTCCAAAAGACATCTGTTCTTGGGAAMTTAGCAATATGTAAAGTCACCTCTCATATATATAAAACACTGCTTARTGAAGTTTAAAAGCAAATCCAGTAAATGGTATTCAAACAAAAAAAAAATATTTATTTGTTGTATTTACCTGGGGTCCTTTGRCCATCAGCAGTAGAATGAGGACTGGAAGCTGAGACAGAATTGTTGACAGGACTAAGAGTAGGAGTGAAAGGAGTGAGGGGAACTATAGGTACTGTGCTAACATTTTTGTGACCAGATTTAGGTTGGGTTGCAGCAGGAGGAATTTGTGCAACAAATCTGGTGACAGCCTCAAAGCTGTGATTTACAATTTGAAGTCTGTGGGGCTCAGAAGAAGAAATTACAGAATGTTTAGTGAAACCTACAGAAGGAGAAAGAATTGTAAAAGTCTTGTTAAGGTATGTGGCATCAGATTTAACTGAGAAAGCAGCATTAGTGACAGATTTTGTTGCAGGTATGGGATTAGTGACAGATTTATTGGAAGTTATGGGAGAAAAAGTTGTCATGGTAGGTTGAGCAAGAGACTCAGAAGAGGAATGTGTAGTGGTGGAAGAYAGAGATGTTTCAGAGAGAGGGTTTGTAAGGGGAGATGTGGAGAGAGCTCCTGAAAAATAAATATCTGTGAATGGTGGGATCAGTGGTCTAATTGTAGGGCTTTGTTTAGCAGAAAGTGTAGGGGGGGGAATAAAAGAGTTAGATCTGAGGAAAGGCTTTTTATGGAGAGAAGGAGAATGAGCAGAAGGAACCCATATAGAATGAGGTGGCACTTGTATGGTACTGCAAAAGAAAAGAGGCACAAAAATACATGRTAAGTTTAACATTGTTTCTATTTTAAAGAAAATTAGTTACAATAGAGGAATATATGTGAATTATATGGAAACACTACTAMTAATATATTTTTTAAATCAATCAGGTTGGATGTTTCATGCTCTAAWATTTAGAGGGTTCTTATATTCTATTTTGCTGTAGTTGTTAACTAGGAAGTCCATAAAAATACTACTACTGCCTTTCTGCCTGTTCTGAAGGTGACCTAATGCTGGACACAAAAGCCAGATGCATCAGGAAAAAAAAATAAAAAAAATAAAAAAAAGAAGAAAAGAAAAGAAGGGAGGGAAGGGAAAGAGGGAGGAAAGAGGAGGGAGTTAGACTGGAAAATGCCTTTTTCTTGTGGAGTCCTTTCTGGCTATTACACTGAAGCATGGAAGTTGACTCTAGCAATGTGTTAGGAAATTTAGGAAATAAGCAAGTCAAATTTTGTATTTATACTTACTACATTTGYAATTCTTCAGCAGTCAAGGAACAATACTTCAGTGATGAACAGCAGCACCGATCTGAGATGACAAAGAAGTATTAACCTGGTTTATCCTTAAGCATAACAATTGCTAAAACCATTAATAGAATATTTAACCATGTGTATTATGTCTTTAAAAAACAGTATTTAGTGCATAATTTATTTTGAAGTTGGTTCTGAAATTTTTTTTGCAAAACAAAAGGTCTTGACCAGTCACAATATTGCCATACCCCCAGATTTTTGTTCAATGCCTGACAAGTTCAGATTTATTTTTTCTTTTMATTTTAAACAAACCAAAATGCAAAGCTACAGCTTTTGAACCAGAGACAAATGGTATGAGCTATGAGCCACTACTCCATACTGTCACAACATCACTACAAAAGCTTGGCCTCTTAATATCCCTTTCAATTCAGATTGTCATTTCAGCAAGATATTTATGTTCTCATTTTACACTTAATCCTTTCAAAGTGTGCTCTATTAAGGTAGCCAGCAATTTTATAWCAAAATCTTTTAAAAAGTTATTTCTATCACACACCTTCTCAAAAATCAGAAGGCTGCATTTTTATGTATTTATATTACTGAAAAACAAAAATATTTTTATCTGAAAGTAACTGTCTTGTCTTTTAAGCTACTTGAAGACCACATGTAAAGAAACAAAATTTTGATGAGACAGTTTAAAGCATAACTTACCAAGTTGGCTTATTTTTGCTTTGTCTGTTAAACTGCTTATATTCTCTCTCTCAGCCAGCTTCATGATGAAAGTGCAGTGTGTGCTATAATGAGAAGAAAAAAAGCTTAAAACTCAAGAAAGAAACAAAGCTGGCTCATCTTTACAACATAAGAAACTACCATCAAATGCTGAGTTGTGAAAGCACCTTTTTCCTATGCTCTGTCAGATTTGGGCATATTTTTAATACAAATTAACCACTAAGCTAATTAGAAGCATAATTCATGAATCTGTGGCACATATTGTCCTTTTCTCTGCGATGTCAATTCTTAAATGGGTCCWCCCAAATCAATGTTGACCATTAAGGAGTTGATATTTTTGTAATTAATAATCTCCACTGATGGAAACTTCCATCCCCTGGGGAAGCCAGCATTCTCTCTTGACTTTAGAGAGAACTTCAGTAACCATTATTGCCTGTAACTCCATCTTTATGACTACAGTKTGATGACTTTAAGCCCTGCCTAAACCAGTGAGCCTACAGGAAAAACTCTTCATGTTCAGCAAATGCAAASACAGAGATGAATGAAAAGGATTCCTTCTAGCTCAGAAGAATGAAAACATTGCCCTAGTGACATGAAGGTATGATCAGACTTTTTGTTTATTCAATTTGAGTGTTTTGGACTTGTCTTTCAACCTAATCCAGGAAAATAAAGTCCAGGCTGAAGTATTTCGGGAAATGAAGTTTCACATTTAGTTTTCGAATACAGTGTTTCCAAGCTGATCATTTTAAAGGACAATTTAATGGTGAGCAGCAATTAAACTGAGAGAGATTATCTATGTTTCAGGGTTTCCAGGATCACTCTCTGAAGCAATCTTTCCACTCTGATAACCCATGGTTTCCAGACTTGAGCTGGTTCTTTCCTCAGGCTCCCCCTACCCTTGGCTGGTTTTCCAAGCTGAAGAACAATTTGGGAGTCTCAAAGCAAATCCCTCATAAAGACTGCATTGGATTCACAAGTTCTGCAATTCTGGTGCTCCCATTTACATGATTAATACCAAGATGCAGAAAAAATATGGCTGGGAAGTCTGTGATTCARTAGAAGACTAATGAGAAACAATATATTTGGGTTAAATAAAASCAACAGACTCTAAAAGGTTTTTTCAAAGTCACTAATCCAGGAGAATAATCAAATCAAAATTTTTTTTGTTAACCTATATATATATATATATTTTGCCAGCCTTGAATTTTGAGTTTTGAATTTCAGTTTCTTGAATTTTGAACTTCCTAGAAAGTTTCTCTTTTTCTTCTTTTACAGAGCCATGTGTACTTCATATATCGTAAGACAATACATGAGCTTTAAGTATTTGATTTTTGAAAATTTAAAAACAAACCTCTGGTTTTCTGCACTGCATTCCATAACAGAGGACTGTAATGACAAATGAAAACAGAAAAAAAAGTTGTTTTATAAGGAGAAATCAGGAGTGATGCTTTATCAGAAGGAAGTTGGAAAAACATTTTCCAAACAATAAAAACAACAATCTTACCTGACTTACTGCTCGCAAGGTTTTGTTGAATTCTGAAATGCTTTAAAATAAAATGATACTGTTATGGAGGATTTTTAGTTATGTTTCTAAAAAACAATTACAACAATTTAATAAAAAAACAGAATTTTTTTTCCCAGTTAATCAGTGATTTTTTAAAGTCAAGCCAGTTCTAACACTGTAAAAACACTTTTAAAGCATTCAATATTTGAAGAGCTGACTTGTATTAGTCACTACACAAATTAAATTTAAACCTCTGTCATCACATTTGAATGCCAACCTACTGTAAATGTTACTTCAAAGAGCAAAAGATAAATGTTAATGTTGCCTTTTGCCAAGCATTACTTGGAATAGAATTCTAAATTTATACTCAAAGCCACAAAAATAGAATGACCAAGAAGTATGAATTTCTTGTACAAACAAGATTTGTTGGCTAATSACATCTTTTTGATTTTCAGGGCAAGTTTGGGAAATAGCAGTAAATATTAACTCATTCAAACCTCTCCTTATAAAGACTGGGAAAGAAAACACTACACCAAAATAAAACCATAGAATTAAAAAAACAAAAACCAAAAAACAAAAAACAAAAAACAAAACAACACCACCAAAAAAAACCAACCAAACAAGAATATTTGTTGAAGAACATGCAGCTAGGAAAGTTCTCATAATTTCCTACCAGATAGATTGAATCTTTAAATTGTAAAAAACATTTGTTGTACCATTTTTTCATAAGGAACTCCAGTGTTTCTTTTAAACACTACAGTGTTTCTTTTAAAAACTAAGAGTATTCTAACTAATATTAATGAGCAAGAAATTACAACTTGTGAAATTTTTAATGTGCAGAATCACACAAAGTCTGGTTAGCACATGGAAGATCTCACTTCATCTTGTTCAAATGCAATGAAGATTTCAATCCTTATTCAGAATTATTTACCTCAGTTCTTGTGGGGTGTGTGCTGGAATTTCAATTAATTTTCTGACTTGATTGGGRGTGGTTATGTTATTGATCTGTCAGAAAAAAAGATCCCATGGMTAAGTACAACCAATAATTTTTAGCYTTAAAAGAAAAATGTTATTTTCACACATTTTAATATGTTGGCATTACAAAGATAAAAAGCATGTTTTCTCAAGAATACACTGCTACAAATATTTACCATGACATTGTCACAACTTATGGAAGGAACTGTTGATCTGGTATACAGCAAATCCCAAAATCTGACTTGTGAAAGATAGGGGCAAGAGGACAGTAAAGTCACCCTGTCTTATGTTGGAAAAAGAGGAATTTGGTTTAGTTTGCAACAAAGAGAGCTTAGAGCAGCACTGAGTGAGCTTTGTAACTCTAAGTGAACAATGGGACAAGGCCCAGAACAGATCATGGTAACAGATGACACAACACTGGCAGTAAAGTCAAGGACTGTAGTGAAAGACWTGGTAAAACTGAGCTAAATAACCATGATCCAGCCTAAGTACTGGGGATACTCTCAGGTTTAACCTAGGGCCCTTTCTACCAATGCATTCTCATGCTTTTCTGTTACCAGCTTTATTGGTTATTTTTACGTTATTTAACCTAGGGCCCTTTCTACCAATGCATTCTCATGCTTTTCTGGTTACCAGCTTTATTGGTTATTTTTACGTTATTTAACCTAGGGCCTTTCTACCAATGCATTCTCATGCTTTTCTGGTTACCAGCTTTATTGGTTATTTTTACATTTTGTGCAAGCAGCAAAGGCCATGAGGAAAAACATCATTTAACGTACGTGGTATAGACGTTCCCTAAGAAATATTCTTCTAAAAATCAGMAGAGTTTGAAGAGTTCAAAACCAGTTTTTCCAGAAGCTACAGGCATAATGTTCCTACAGCAGACAGTTCCAGTGGCATTATCACACCAGAACACAACACAAAGTGTGTTTGGGGCACATCCCTGCCCAAAGTCACTGCTCCATGGCACTTGCAGGAACTCTCTGTGGTTATTTATGCTGCTGACCATTCTCATGCTGTCAGGGATTGGCATGGAAATCTCACACTGAGGCCTGACAGATGTGTAAATAAATACATAAGGGCCTTCTTTTTTCCTCCCCTCAGTTTCCATCTGCAACAATTAAACATTCTCATCCTCACAGTATTTATTATCTTGCTATTCCATCATCTGTATGGTGCTGCTGTCCATGACACTGTCCTCTTAAACCTCTTGTGTTGTATAAATGTACACACTCATGTCACATAAGCAACTGCAAAATCACTAATTCAGTAACCACATGTAAAAAACATAGAATGATCATGCAAAAGCACAACAGAAAAAAATACAAAAAACCCCACAGAACTATTCATGAGAGTCTCAACATTAATTATTCCAGCATATAAACCAATGTTAATTTTTACTCAAGATGCTCATCTTGTGAAAGCAAATCCCTAAATTAATCCCCAAAGGAAGATCCTGTGTACCTAAATGCAGATTCTTGAGATTACCAAGGGCTTCCCCCTCCTTGCAGTGGMTATGTAGAGAATACAAGTCCCTACAGTAGGAAGTTAGCTGCAATTTTAAAATTTAGCTACAAATCAGCTGTTTAAAACAGAGCTGTTCCATTCACTGCAAACAGTATCTTGTACTGCAAACACAGTAAGAATCATGTTAACATATCAGTATTTTAACTGCAGAAAAAGAAACTCACTTCAATTTTCCTTACAATAAAGTTATTTAAAAAAGAATACTTACTATTTCTACATTTAGTGATGCATTATTTTCTTCACTTGCCCGAAGTTTTACCTTGCCCACATAGAATACTAAAGCCAAAAGGAAAAAAATTAGGAAAATCAACCTTAGAACAYGGGATGTAATTTTTTTTGAGAGTTGAAAATCTTATACCTCCCCCCTTTAATATTTTTAGAATTAATAYAAAATCTCTGTAAATTTACAAGAAAATTTATTACAGACTTAGATTTTACATGGCAATTAAACATTGTTTCATTACTCAGAGTATTAAATAGTTGAACAAAATTTTTGTAAGAAAAAAAGGGAAAAGAAAACCACTAACCTGAATAATTGCAGGCAGATGTTACATTGCATACAATGGTTTCTCCTGCTGTAAATTTTTTTGGGGGAAAAAAACCAAACAACTACTGAGTAAAAAAGTTAAACTTAAATCCAATATTAACACACATATTTACAATCATTCCTGTGTTTGAAATGCAAATGTCTTTATCCTGTGGAAGTATTTGAAATACTGTCCAGGCTTCACCTCTCTACAGCATTTACCATGACATTTTCCAAGACTAAATATTCTGCTTTTGATGAAATTATTTTGAATCACTTTCTGTAACAGTTTTGACAGAAGCCATACAGGCAAGTGATTTCAATTTTTTCCCTTTTTTAAAAATTCAAATAGAAATCAGCATATAATTAATAAGCTGTTCAAATATCCCAGAATTCAATCACTAGGCTGCAAATTGCTGCTTCTGAGGATCCTACTCTGGCTCCATATGATAGAATGAAGCTAAAGCTGTTCTCCCTGCTGGAATTCCAACTGTGATGAACCAACCATGTGCACTCTCATCGAGTAGAACATCCTCCATTTAGTTACAGAAGCTTTTGGCTGCTCCATATTTTCCATATTTTTAATACTACCTACATTGCTGTGAAATAACACTGATTTTAAATTAGGGTACTGTAAACAGATGGCTCTGTTGTAAACCAAAATAAAGCACTGGAAAGATGCTTACATTCAAGATAAAACTCCCACACTTGTTCATTTAAACAATGTGGCAWCACAACTTCCTTACTTAAGCAGATGCATTGCCTTCCATTAACATAAAAACCTCAAATTTTATTTTATCTGCTCTTATCATTAGATCTAAATGAGAAGAGATTTTTTTTTACTTTACTTTCTGTGGTACAAACATTCGACTGTAAAAGTTTATGATCAATTTTATCACCATCAGTAAATAACTCATCAGAAGGTACAGACAGTAAGCTGGTGGCACTATTCCAATTATTAAAAAAAGAAGTTTTTCAGACAGGAGTTTAGAGTCAAATAAATTCAATGGTTGGACTTGATGATCTTAGAGGTCTTTTCCAAATTTAACTATTTTGTGATCCTAAATTTGCCTTCCCTTGTGTTGGCAGTTGAACAGTTACAACACTTGTATCACTGTTTTTTTTTTAAGACTCCTTAAAAATAGAAAATGTTTATAAATAAATGATACACAATAAATTGTCAAAATTATTTACTACATAGAGAGCAACACTTAGAAAAACCCAACASAAAATTCAGCTTCTTTTTCCTTACAGAGCATCCAGTCATGTGACCCCTAAGTCAGACTGTTAATATGACACAACACAATACCAAGAAAAAAAATCATATTAAAAATATTTGAAAGCAGACTTCCTGAACTCACACATACTKAAATTTTGAGATGCACAAAAACGTATCAGTGGTGATAGATGAATCCTACCTGGTGTCATGGTGGAGTAATAATCAGTGATTTTAAGAGCTTCTGTTAAAAAAAAAAAAAAAAAAATAGTTTAAAGGTTTTCTAATTTTAACTTTAACTTTTTAACCTCTGAACTCTCACCATGCAGACTTAAAATACCAACTGCAGATATATACACATTTTAAGAACATGAAAGAAAATAATTTAAACAAATCCCAGTTACTAAAAAAATGCCAACAAAAAGGCAACAAAGATGAATGCAAAAAACATCTCCCTTGAAACCTTATTCTCTTCATGCAAATACTCACCTGTACTTTGTGTAGTCTCCTCTGAATATGWATCTGAAATAGAAAAATTAATAAGCATAAAATCTATGAAAATAAAACATTAAAAAGCCAGAAAGTCTAAATCTAACAAAAGCTAAGTAAGAGAAACATTAATAACATCTTGMCTGAAGAATTAATAGGATAGGTTATAAAAGTAACAATAGAGGATTCTAGGGAAAAAAAAAGATATAAGAAGTAACAATTGTATTAATGAAGTATTTTACTTCTATGGATTTTTCAGAAAAAAGATCAGGTCTGCAAAATGTTGAGCAGAAACTGAATATTATTTATYTAAGTTTCACTTTAAGAACAATTGCAAAGCTTTTAAGAGTGTTCACATTATTTTAATACTAATAATTGAAATGATGTTCACAATATTTCAAAAATCTGAGTATCTGGATACAAGCAGCTGGAATCTAATTTCCTCATATAAGTTCCTTTTACTGGTTTCATTCTTTCAGAAGATGTGCATGAATTTTGCATATCCAATTACAAAAAAAAACCTTAACTGCAAGAACCTTTTCCTGCATGAACATTCATAAGCAGAGATGACACACTGGGCTTAGCAAACTGTCTCTCCAAAAAGCTGGTTTTATCAGTAACCATATATAAATAAAATAATGATGCAAAGTTTTTTTCAGCTACACCAAAAGRAAAAAAWAAAGTTAAATTAAGACAATAGCTGAATATTTAAAGAAGGCTGTACTTAGTGAGAATATTTTAGGTGCATGGGAATACAAAGACCACTTTATATCACTTCAACATGACAACTTAGTGACTTATTTTAAATAGGCCAGAGCAGCTTCACAACAGAACAAATTTTCCAAGGCAATTAAAACAAGCAGCCAAAATATGAGCAATCAGAGTGAAATCTAAGCACTGGTTTCATCTGTATCATTTGTAGTGGTGCATACTACACCAAATATTGAATTTGTTGTTAAAGATGAAGCATCCCCCCAGAGACACTACATCTGTAAAAGAATGTGATTATGTGTGTTTGCATCTGTATTATTTCTTTTATCCAGAGCACTGTATGTCAGTATATATTAAGCAAGAAAGCAATTGCCTTTCATACAGGTTATTTCTGTGTGTCTCATTTTYACTTTTTCAAAAAATGACATCTGCTAGGGGATGGAAAGGAGCTCTCACTACATTTTTCCACCTCTGTTATTTCTGCAAACTCCTCACTGTTCAGATAACTGAACAAAAACTGTCAGAAAAAGCAACTTGCACCTACTTCATCCCCAAGCCACAAGCCATGAGTGATCATACAAGGTAAGCTATTTCATTACAATGTAGAATTAAACAATTWATTTGAAATGAAAGCATTTTAATGTTGGAAATCTATTACATTACAGCCTTTCTGCATTACCCCTGATAAAGGCAGATTTCAGCAGATAAAAGAGGAAATAACAAACATTGCAGAAATCAGGAGTCTTGATTTTCTTACCAAAAATTGTTGTTGCAGCTGATTCTTCTGAATCTGACGATTTTGCTTCAAATAAAAAAAAAAAAACAACAAAACAAACAACCATGATGAAGTTTCAGACACACAGACGATCACCTTCAGCAAGCTTTTCCTGTATTATTGAAAGTTTACTGCATTTACCAGAAGAGGGCAATACCTGCTCTTCCAGAACAACATTTCCAGGCTCTCAAAAAAGGCACATGTAACAATCCCTGCTTTTAAAAAGCACAATTTTTATGCATTCCAATAGAATTCAATGTAAGACAATTTATTATGAGGCATACTGGACAGTTGGAATTGTATAATGTTAAGAACCCACAAATCATTCACCTGAGATTTGTGCCACACTAGCCTGAAAGCCATGTGCCCATCCTGAATTTCATGCTAAAATTCTGGGAATGAGAATCAAGGATGCATAAGAAGATGGCTCTATCTGGATATGAAGAACTCTTCTTAGACTTTTTATAATAATAGTGAAGCTTGGCACTTAAAATTTATCCCATATATATATATTCTCTTTTTTATCCTGCAAAAAGCAGTGTAAAAAAATAATTTCAAGTTTGAACCCCAATCTTGACAAAAACTAGCCAACTATTTATATAAAAAATGCTAGATATTGTATTTTTGATATTGTTACAGTCAGCATTTTGGTCAAAAAGAAAACAGGAAATTTGATGTCTTGTTCACACAGCAAATTTAAAGCTGGCCCTTTCAGTCACTGGGTGGTTTGTGATACTGTCAGGACACAGATATCAGAGAAATAAAATCTAAAGAATAACTGGATGCAAACATGGAGCACTATTTAAAAAATATACTTAAGGTATTTCAACATCTCTCAAAGCTCAAAAGTCATCAAATAATGTTGCTTACAATATATAATTACACTCTAAAGCCTTTCCTACTGCTGCAGAAGACCTAAATCAGACTTACCAAAACTCCCTGAGCAAAATCAGGGTTTTTTTATATAAATGGTATAGAAGGAGTTTCTGAAATGCCCATCACTCTTTAATTCCTTGCTCTAGTAAGATGATTTTGCTTACCTTACTGAAAWTTAGCAATAGCTCCTTTCCAAAGGATGAATGTAAATATGATTTCAGTAATGAGGGGAGAATCAGAATCATCTCAGTGACCTTATTTTCATTTTCTCTGGAAAATTACTAATGCTATTTGTACCACAAAATTAACTAATATCCCACAAGGATGACATGGAAAATGAATTTGCAAATATTTACATATGCTTAATTATCTCCATGAATTAAAAAGAAACAGGATCAGCAATCTTCCTATACATTTTATAAAATAGAAGAATGGGGCAAAATCCCACAGAACYCCAACATACCTGCTATGTGTTTTCTGCCAGGCAGTGTAGCAGTAGTATCAACTGCAAAAGAAGAAAGTTTTTTTAGGAGCAGAATATATATATAAAATATATACATTTTACACAAGCACACACATACATATACTTCTTTAAACACAACCATTTTGGATGTGCTACTTCACTTCAAAACAGTCTGCAAAACTACTGTTGAGTCTGCAAAGCATCCATTGGGAAACATGTGCCAAAAATTCTGAAAGCTGGAAGTTGACCCCTTTTAGAGTTTAGTTTTTTACTCAGTTTATCTTTTTAAGTAACAATACTTCTACTTAAGAGTTCCAGAACACACACCTTAAACATTGTAAAGTGATTGGTAACTACAGATGTTGTAAAATTATTTTCTTATCATCTAGTGTAGGTTTGGGAAAGACCCTTAAAATACAACAACACCAACTTAAATAATATGCAGAACTGAAGCAGTAGTCATATAAAACTATTTTGTATTGTTTAAACAGGAAATAGTTTTTTAAGGTATAATGGGGTGAATAAAAACAATTGAGYCAATTCTTCATAAAGTGAATTCTTGTTAGAGAAGGAAGCATCCTTCCACAGGTGGGARATCTGACTTTCCTACCACAGGAAGTGAATTCTGTCTCCAAAGGTTTATTTGTCACTGGACAAATAAAGGCTTTTGTGCAAAAGCCTTTTTGTCCAAAAAAAAAAAGTCCTGCTGGAAATTAAATTTTCAAAAGGAACCCACTTGTTGAATATGCAGCATCTCAGAGCAAATGCCACCACACTGCTCCTTCTGCCCACTTAAAAGATGGCACCTGGCTGAGGAATCTGATTGAAGATTTTTCTCACAAACTCTTGTGGATTCAATGCAGACAGTCTTGCTGTATACAAGCTGCCTTTGCATTTTTGACAATACAAGTAGTRTCCTGAGGCTGCTACAAAAATTGTTCATTAACATATTTCGTTTTGTAGTTTAGCAAGAAGAYGGTGAACCCTAAAAATGCCAAATGCTTTTAATAACACATCTAGCAATACAGGGACTAAAATAAGCTAAACATGAATATGGAGCTGGCAAATGCAGTAACTGGTGATGGTAAGCCTAACCTGATGAGCATTTTTTATGGACATAAATCGAACCATGACTTCTCTAACAGCACAATATTCACATGCTTACAGTTGCTAGAAATTATTCATGAGTGTGATATTTGTCATTTATCAAGGTGCAGCATTAAGTTCATTAACCAAGTCTTTTATGAGAATCACCTTTGCATGCAGAAAGGAGGAAGGAGGAGACACTGTCATATATTATTTAATATGGCTTAMATTTGTTAACCCTCCTCCTTTGTTGTGTTCAAGAAAAACAAAACAATGTGAATAGGTTTTATCTGGAGGATTAGAGTTCAATCTAAAATATGCCTAAAGTTGACATGTATAAAAAAGGAAAGTAAAGAAACTCAAGATGTGTTAGTTATAAGCCAACAAGAAAATTTATTGCCCTCAGGTTGCTTACGATTGATAAGACCAAGAAAATCCTTACCATTTATTTGCTTTATGGATTTTCATTTGTAACTCTGCTAGTTTAGGATCATCAAATCAATATACCTAACATATCCTATTCCAAAACAAGGGATTACACATTGTAATAATACTTGGCTGCATTTTCTCTAATTGAAAACACTCTTGAAGAYTCAAATAGTAATTAAATAGGCAAAGTCCAGTATTATTCTTTGCTTTTGTTGCAAGGGCGATAGAACAGGTCCCCACAAGAATTGTATGTTTTCTTTTCCGAGAGAAAAGGCAACTCCATTAGATGAGATAAGCAGCAGTTTCTGTTACTAACGTGCATCATTAGAAACAAAAGCAGCAAATCCCTTACTGTCCTCATGTCACTTTGTACTGTTCCAACACAAATGGCTCGCTAAGCCAAGAGCTGGCAATTCCATCTGTTTAGGCAGAGGAAACTGTTCCACTGATACAAAAACTGTTCAGCAACTCTCACCATAGCTGCAAAAATGGTGACAACCTTCATTTTCCAGTGACTTTGTTTGACAGTGGGAACCAATGTAACTTCAGCAGCTCTGGATTGGCAGAAGACTAAATCCATTACAGTGCTTAAGGTGCACAAACTGAGGTAGCTCTGAGACAGACCAGTGCCTGGCCCTGTCTAAAAAATAGCAAAAAACAGCTTACAGCATTCCTTAGCATGACAGCTTTTGAGTCTATTGGGTATTTGAAGATGGGATGGTCTCCACATGTCCTCTGAAGCTGCTCCACCAAGCAAAGCAGAACTGAAAAAGCAATTCAGCAAAAGGGAAAGCRAGGCAGAAGGAGGCTTTGTAACACAGGATGGGACAGGTGGTTCTGGTCCCTGCACCAAAGACACTATCACTCAAAGCATGCCATTTGTTCAGTAACTCAGGCACAGGAGAGAGAAAAAGCCCTTGGAGCATGAAAGGTGTACAGTGTTCTACCTCCAACTGTGAAAATGAAAAAAATAAAAAAATAATTTTCTTCTCCCTACCTCCAATCTAACTCTTCCTTCAATTTTTTGGAAAGCCTTTACTGATTCACCTGTCTGCAGGCAACCCAGTCTGTGAGCAGCAGTTCAGTTTTTCCAGGGTGGAGAAGAGAGAAGCAGCTGGAACCTGGCCACTGATAAGAATTTCATACAAGAACGACACTACTGGGAGCTGTTTCTTGTCCCCCTGTCTCAGGAGAATGGTGCTGCTGCTGACTAATGCTGTTTTACCTAAAGCTTCATCATCTCCTTTMAACCTTGGCAGAAAGCATCCTCTGAGCAATGCTGGGACAGGGCAAGAACTGCTGGGCTTTGGCAAGAGGAGAATTAGAGCCTCCCACAGACACTGCCCTGGCCAGCCTGGGAGATGGGTGAGGAGGGACAGTGGACAGAACAGCAAAATGACAGTGCCAGCTGCTCTCTGTCTGAGGAAAAATGGGACAGAATATCAGGGCAGCTGCTTTCAGTCAGCTCTGACACCAAAACAGGCACTGAATGCTAAGGAGAAGCAAACAGCCCTGACAGCCTGCAGAAGCACAACATTCCTGTCAGACAAACACACATTTATGGACTYAGATGTKYAGGGCCTACAGRAGAGATTTATAGAATGAAGTGACTRAAATTTTATGAAAAACAKSCCAAAAATGCAAACGGTTTGTATTAGCACCTAGGACTATTCTTTCCAAGTACAGGTAGTCCTGACAATGTCAGCTCTCACAAGGAGATGAACAGAGAATCCAAATGGAAGAATCCCAAGGGACACCTTGGAGCCTCCACAATTTGGGCTCCTCAAGCCACAGTACTTGGCTGTCACCACAGAATGACATTAGAGAACCATCACTGCATATTGCTGCTAAGATCAGTTTTGACTTACAAGTAAATACAAAAGTACAGTGAAATTACTAAAAATTAGATTTTTTAAATAAGAAATTACAGCAAACTTATAGTACTGGAMGTTTTTTCACCAAAAATTCAACTGATTCAGGCAGTGGAATTGATTTSCATGAAAAATGTCCCCCAGAAAGGCCAAAGCAAATATTTTCATTCCAAACAGACACCTAGCATCACATTCTGCATTATGTAATTACAACCATTRAACATTTAAAAAATAAATTCCACATCACAATTTTTAAGCCTACACAGATCCCCTTCTWAACATTTTTACAGGCAACAGTTACCTGTTTGTTACAGCAGTTACCAGATACTGTCCATTTGCATTCAGTGAAATGAAAATGCCCAGCATTGATGCATTTCAAAGGACTTACTCATGAACATAACTGAGTAGCTCAAACAGCAAAATTTCAAAATGGTGCTGTTCTAAAATCCAGTTATTTGCAGAAATAGGCCCCTAAAATATGACATAAATTTATCCCATTAAATGAAATCCGTATTTTCTATTAAAAGATTGGGTGCCCTTAACATTTGACAAACCTTTCATTGAATAAATGTTCTGCCAAAAATGAACCATCCAGTCACACAAGGTATTAATAACACATAAAAATCCTCCACAAGTTAACAATTGTTAGTTAATTGTACACTGGAAATATTAGCCTATCTTGACTTTCAGTGTAAGGCAGATTTTCAGCCACATTGTATATAAGTTTATAGGATAAAAGTTAAGTGCAATTTTAGTTTTATATTTTCATGCCTCTCATGACACYTCGTAGCTGCTCTGACTCCCTGTGGTGGCWCCTTGGAAGAAAGGATGAATTATCACTGGCCATGAGACAGAAACAAAGGTAAGAAAACCATGATRGAGCATGCTCACATCAGGTCACTTTGGCCAGCTCATTTTAGTATCCTTAACAGAAAATTTAGGCTCAGTATTTTAAATTCAGCTTTGATGTTAAAYTGGTTCTAAGAAATTAGGTTATGAATACAGTTTTTATCTGTTTGTGGAAAGCTGAATACTAGATACTGACGTGAATCAAATCACCASCTTCTGGAAGGCTCTTTTCCAAAAAGCCACTTTGTTTGGTATCAAAGAGGGAGAGAACGAGAGCAAAGAAAGGGAAGGTCAAATCTGCATTCTGTTAATAGGTACAAAGTAGAGTGCACATGACTCATCAAAAAGGCACTCCAGACTTAGGTATTTTTTYCCCATCACATTTCCTTCAAGAGCTTCTAGAGGTTTCTTTAGTATTCTYTCCTTACAGTTTTAGAAAATAAAATTGCTTTAGGGCAAACTATTTACTTTTTCATCTTCTGCTACCATGATCCACTCAGCAAATATAATAATACAACTCAAGGTTTGGTACCCAACAGACTGGAATGCAGCCTGGATGAGAGACAGCCACACTTCCAGATCCTCCCTGAGGATGGAAAKCCTTGGGACTGCACCCTCCCTTCCAGGAAAGGTGATCCTGGAAATTGGATGGGCACAGATGGGAAATCTTTACATGGGATTGCATGAGCCTAAGACTGCCTGCATCTGCAAACCGGAACAAAAGCCCAAAGTGAAGTTTTCCTCTCCTGSAGAATGCAGAGGCAAAAGAGCCACACTGGGCACTGGGCACTTCCCATTTCTCCCTTCACCATTAAATTGCTGCTCCCAGAAGGAGGGAAACCTCCTTCAGGCTGAGCAATATAAAAAACAGAGGGCAACATCTTCATCTTGAAGSTTGGACAGGACAGTTTAGAGAAACTAAAAATGCCACAATATGCCCACTGAATTTTAATAAGGAAAAAAATGCAACCAGAAGCAACAGGGTAGAAGTGAGAGCACTGATATCACAAATGAGATGGCAGTGCTTTCTTGTCAGTGATACTATTTACAGCTGGGCCCAAAATAATCTGGTCTATTTATTCATTGACGTTTGTAAAAGATATCCCATCATCTCTGTGCTCCTTGCATAAATGCACAGTGTAACAGTTTGGATATTTGTATTTGGATTAAGAAAGTTACTGTTTAATGTATAACTTAAATGATTAATGTTTAAACAGTTCATTTCACTGTKAAGTTATTACTAAAGGCAACTTGAAAGTATCACATGTAAAAATGACAACCAAAGAGTTCGTACACACAGGTGATTAAAGTTTCCTTAGAACGATTTAGCACTCAAAAATATTTTTTTTCTTGCGTGTTCTTGAATCACCCCAAAYTTTAGATTATTTTGCAGACCTTTTTCTTGGATCATACAGAGACAATAGTGATACCATTCACATTGTCCACATTAAAGTATGTAGCTACAGAGSAATCATTCATCGAGGAACCAAGCTAAAGAAATTTTCCAAGGTTAGAATTTGAGTTAGTAAGCACATCTTTCTCCACTTACRTATTTTTAAATAGCAGGAGGTGATCTGTAAAGTGAGACACATTGAACCTGTGGCACTCTTTTCTCCATATCAGCTGGTACTTCTCACTCTGAGCAAGATGAGAATTATCAGAATAAGCTGAGGAATGTGTGTGGAGGGCCAGTGACGCACAGTGCATGGCCTGGCTGGCCCTGCCTGCACTATTTACATTTGCTCAGTGCCCAATGGCCACACCAAGCACCAGTATCACAACACTGCCACTGCAAGGACCAAGAGTTTCTCTTTAACTCAGCTCTAAAAGTTCCCTACTGAGAACCATTCGTCCAGGAAAGTGGGAAGCAACCAGATCCATCCTTCCTTAAATCTTCAGATTCATGAGATATGTGGCCACTGCAAAAGTAATCTCAGCCACTTCTGAGGAGTGAGCTACTCGGGTAAAGTCCAGCATATCTTTAAGTGCTAAGCATGTGTGTAAATCTTACTGGAATTAGAATTTTGATCCTTATTACACCTCACATGGTTAAGAGAAAATCAGATAAATTTTTGTAATCTGAAAAACTGTCATAAAAATAAATTATGAAACCTTAAGGAAAACAAGCAGAAGAGTCAACAAAAAGAAAGGCAGGAAACAGAGGTAAGGATATATAAGCTAATAATGTGATGCTAAGTAAATCTAGTCTTCATTAACAGAGTGAATCACTTCCAGTGGTTCACCAATTAGGCAGTGGCTTACACTGCACAAAGACTTTGGTTAAGCAAAGAAGAAATCACAGGAATTACAATAGCCTTTGACAGAATATTTTAGAAGTAATTGTTTTACGTAGGCACAAAATGCCAACCAGGTCACAAAAAAAATTCTGAAACTTGTCCTCAGGCACAATTATGACTGTAATGAACCACTTCCTTTTCACCTTTTGTGCCTACACAGGAGGCACAGCCCTTTCCTAAGATTTAGTYGTTTGCCAGTTATGTTCATTGCAGATGCAAAATTTGATCTTTCTGCAGACTTACTACTCAAAGTCCTTTGTTCTAACAAAAAACAGAAAAGTTTCTCAAATCAGGTGTTGAGAGAAACTTATTGAAAGAAAACCGATTGTAAGAGTAGTAACAACATCARTTAAAATCACCTGACATAGACTATTAGATATTCCTACAGTAAAAGCTTTGTTATCTATTGSACTGGTAAATATATGCTTTTCACAGGATGACTTGGGCAGGTAATCAACTAAAAATAATCTAACACAGAAGAGAAGCAAATAAACTGTTAAAAAATTCCACAAAGCTTCTCTTTGAAAAGCTGTATGTCTTTCTTGTACTCGTGTGGCTGCGCTTGGAGGAACACAGTCCTAAGGTGGAAAGGGAGAAGGAACATTCTGGGTGCCAGATCTTCAGTTTGGTACAAAGAAATTCTGAGAGAGGTACGTCTGGGTAGTGGGGTAAAGCTCAGTCAGAGTGGAACAAAAACAGAAAAGCTTATTATCTAGCAAATTATCTAGAGGAAATAACTTATATTTGACAGTAGAGATGATCTCTGCATTGAAACAAACCCCTGCCAACATAGTTACTCAGTTTGGCTAAGCCACAGACCTTTGGAAATGATACATCTCACACACTCACTAGAGAKCTCTTGCAGGTAGACAAAGGATTCCACAAGCTGTAAAACATGAATTCCAGAATCAAGCACTTGGGGCTGGAGCTGGGCATTGCCTGTTCAAGCTGCCCTGTGATTCTCAAGGAATCAATGTTCAGAGAAACAAGGAGGYTGTCCTTTCTGTGTTCAGTACAAGATAATCAGATGTTCCACTCTGACTCTGTACYTCTCTCAGAATTTCTTTGTACCAAACTKAACATCTGGCAGCCAGAATGTTCCTTCTCCCTTTCCACCYTGGGACTGTGTTCCTCCAAGCACAGCCACTCATGAGTACAAGAAAGACATCCTTTCTTCAGCTCCTTTCCCAAGTCACACAAATCAACAAAGATGTGCTCCTAATTACAGATCAGGGACAGCAGACACACTTCACTCATCACCAACCAGTGTTAGCAGCATTCTCCACAAGTCCTGCTTTGTTGGACACATTTCTTTCTCTCCCAGTAAAGGAAATCTGGTCACCTTATTTAAATGCCCTTACAGAGAAACTTTGAATCTAGTCCAGAATAGCAGTGGCTCTAAGATTATATAGAGAAAAGGTATTTTTGAATCTGCATGAAATGGATAGGTACATTTTTAAGGCTACAGGTGATGAAGATTAAGACTGGTGTCATAGTTAAACTGAATCACTGATGCTATTCAAAAATTTCAGGAAACAATCATATAGCTAGTCACATTAAAATATCTTAAGGGATAATATTGGTTCCTATGATTGATAAATTGGATTTCATCAAAGCTTAATTCAATTTTGTCTTTTTTGACAATAGATATTATAGCAAAAGCTAAAAATAAGATTATTCTCTTGCTTGAACACGATTTCTCTAAAAGTAAAATCCTGGTTTGGTTTGATTCAAAGGTTTTTATGGTTCTTTTTCAGGCCAGAGTGGAATTTTGAGAAATGTGTGATAAACCATTTAGTCATTTCAATAAAGGAGACATTATGATCCTGAAAAAGAGGAAGGAATTGGAACCTCCTATAATTTTTACAGATGAAGATGGTGTAACATGCCAGTAAAGCAGTGAAAAGTTGAACTCATTGAAATTCCAGCCCAGCAAATGTGYAGAATGAGAACCAGCAATTTCCTCTGTATTAATTCCCTGAACAGAAGGTGTGTAAATTAATTATTTTAAGATCACATTGATAAACGCCTCAATACTCCAAGGAGTTTTAGCTGCATGCATCCTGCTCTCATATTATATAAACAGTCAATAGACAGAAAAGTTGAAAGTCTAAAGGATTGACGCTGTACTTTTTCTTTTGGATAAAAACCAGCAAAAGCTGCAGGTCMTTACATGATCTCATCAAGAATTTAGCTAGAAATGATTAATAGACTGAGACTTTGTAAAATCTGGAACAGAAACACTAGACACACTGACTGAGTGACTAATTGAAAAACAATGCAGTGGTACTCACCACATGGTAAAGAGTTGTCCTCTTCTATTGAGGTGTTATAGGTCCAATCCTCCTTTCTCCAGCGGATAACCCCACTGTCCTGGCAGTCTGCAGACTGGCTCATATTTGCTTTGTCCCACATTCTGAACAGGTACAGCTCCCCTGTCATACCCCGGTGAGGTGATGCAGCTGTACCTTCCAGCTTTGAACAGCCAAGTAAGAACTGGCCTTTTGCRGGCAAATTCACTTTCCCTTTTAGTTTCTTGTGGAATTTTTCTGTTCCGTTTATGAATACCTTCATCTCCTCATTGTCACTTTTCCACTGGATACATATTTGGTTCCAAATGYTTTTACGAAGTCTTACTGATGTATTTATTTCATTTCCAAACAWCCAAATCTTTAATTTCCCATGATCTCCTGTAAGTCCCAGGTCATACTTATTTGCAGAGAGATTGGTGTGAAGAGTTTTTTGAGCATAYACATATGCTGTCCATTGACTGTTTGAGGAATACAGCTTCAGGTGCACACAGACAAGGAACTCTTTCAAGGGACGCAGAGAAATTCTTGATGACATACTCCATGGATCTTCACATGCAGTCTTAAAGACGGCTTTGTATCGCCCCAGGAAATCCTCCTGATCTAAATAAAGAAAAAGTGATTTGTAAAATGATWTAGTCTTAAAAAGGTTGTTTATATGAAAGTTATTCTTCCATATAGTACTGTCTCTAGGARTTTTCCTAGGAGTTTTCAAAACAACATATTAAGAAACAATCTTTTAACCTACTCCTTTGGATTTATTTTTGTGGTAGGGAGGTGACAAATTTAGAGGCAGTCGATAAATCCTAGATGCTCATGGAAGCTTTGAAGTAAAATTTATGCACAAGACCAAGGATGACCATGTAGAATCATACAATCATTTAGGYTGGAAAAGACCTCCAAGGTCACTGAGTCCAACTGTTAACCCAGCATTGCCAAGTTCACCACTAAATCATATCTACACATCTTTTAAGCACCTCCAGGGATGGACTCAACCACTTCCCTCTGCAGTTTGGTTCAATGCTCAAGCCCCTTCCAAGAAGAAATGTTTCCTAGTATACAATCTAAACCTCCCCTGGTGCCACTTGATGCCATTTCCTCTTGTTCTGTCACTTGTTACTTGGGAGAAGATGCTGACCCTACAACCTCCTTTAAGGCAGAGAGCAATAGGGTCTCCCATTAGCATTCTTTTCTCCAGGCTTAATAATCCCAGATCCCTCAGCTGCTCCTCACAGGACGTTTGCTCCAGACCCTTCACCAGCTCCGCTGCTTTTCTCTTGACTTGCTCCAGCACCTCAAAGTYTTTTTCTTAAAATGAAGGGCCCAAAACTGAACACTGGATTTGAGCTGTGGCCTCACCAGTGCCGGGTAAAGGGGACAATCCCTGCCCTGGTCCTGCTGGTCACACCATTGATGATCCAGGCCAGGTGCCACTGGCCTTTCTGAACATCTGGGCACTGCTGGCTCATGTTCAGCAGCTGTTGATCAACACCTCCAGACCCTTTTCTGTCAAGCTGTTTTTCAGCCACTCTTCCCCAAGCCTGTAGTGCTGCATGGGGTTGTTTTGTTCCAAGTGCAGGAGCTGGCACTTGGCCTTGATGAACCTAATACAACCCAGGATTRWTTCTTCTCATTCTTTCAGCTCAGGSCACTGGGTACTCTGAGACTGAGGCAAAGAAAGAATGAAGTACACCAGCCTTTTTCTCATCCTTTGTCATTACATTTCACCCTTCATCCAATGAAGGCTGGAGATTCTCCTTAGCCCTTTTATCACTAACATATTTATAAAAKCATTTTTATTGTTTTCTATGGCAGTAGTCAGATTAAATTTTAGTTGGGTTTTGGCCCTTCTGCTTTACTCCCTGTCTAASCTTAAGCCATCCTTGTAGTCATCCTGAGTTTCCTGCCCCTTCTTCCAAAGGTTATAAACTCTTCCAYTGTTCCTGAGCTCCAGGCACAGCACTCTGCTCAGCCAGGCTGGTTATCTTCTGTACTGGCTCATCTTTCAGCAGAGGATGATCTGCTCCTGCCCCTTTAAGATTTCAGTCTTGAAGAAGAATGTCCAACCTTCCTGGACTCCTTTGCCCTTCAGGACTGCTTCCCAAGAGACTCTGTCAACCAGTCCCCTAAAAGCCTCCCTTCTGGAAGTCCAAGGTGGCAGTTCTGCTGACTCCCCTCCTTACTTCTCCAAAAATTGAAAACTCATTATTTTGTGATAGCTGAAGCCTCCAACCAGCACATCATCCAACCAGCACATCATCCAACAACCCTCTCTGTTCATAAACAACAGCTCCAGCAGGGCACATTCCCTATTAATCAAGTCATCTCAGACAATGCCCTAAACATTGAATCTTGATCACAACTGTTCAGTTCTTGCAGGTGTCTCATTTCCTTCACTGTCCCAAGACAGAAAAGGACAGACTTTTGTGACTGTAGATGTAAACTCTTTAGAACTGACTCTTATTTAGTGGAAATAAGCACACTCCAATCACACAATCATTATCATGGTTGCTTGCTTTATGGTGCACACATCAGCAACAAATKAAGAAAAAGTTCCTTTGGAATGTGAAATAGAACAACAGAAAAATGAAACAACCTGGCAGATGCTCAGCCAGTGCAAGAGAACACGTTACTGACACCTTTAAGGAGATCATTATTTATCAATATATGAGAGATCTTATGTACTCTCTGGAGCATATATGGGATTCATCATGATTGSTCAGGGTTGGGAAGCAGAAAAAATATCAGCCAGCCAACATAGGAAAAAACCCTTTTCCATTAGTTCTCCTGTAAGAAGACAAACTTCCAGGCAGCTTGGATCAGGGTGTTTTTTTCCAGGGCAGGTTATATTCCTAGTCCTAGTYAGCTGTCAAGATCACAGCCAGCTCTTCTGTAATGTTCTCAAGCGAGCAGAGCTCAGCTTTCACCAGGCCAGTTCTGACAACTTTTCTGTCTCTTGACCTCTTGGCTCTCAAATTTCTTTTCAATAGCAACAAGTAAAAACAAGAAGAAAGTTCCTAACTTCCAAGTGCAACCTGATGGGTACAAGTGACCAGAAAAAGTYTGAAACATAAAATAAATCAATCCAATTTCATGGAAAGTCATTGATACCTATTCTTGTTGCATCCTATAGATTTGAGACTCTTTCTAGCAAAAGCTCGTGGGCATTTTTCACAACCCTGAATCATTCCTGAACTTCAACATACATCATGGAAGTGCTATGCAAGGCTATAGACCAAACAAAAAAACTCTCTGGGCAGAAGCAGATAACTAGCAGACAGTGGATTTTGAATGGTRAGTTAATCCTTAGATTGGTTTTAAATGGCAATGGATAAAAAGAACATACCTGACCACAGAGTGAGCAGTAGAATTACTTCCCCCCTGCCCAACCCAACAGCATCAATTCACTCATTCAATCTGGCCACTTGTCAGAGTCTGAAAGCAAAATCTGGGATGATCAGCTAAGACCACTTCTGCATGGAAAACTGATTTTTAAAATGACTTAAGAGCTGTATGAGGAAGACTGGATGGGAGGGGAAAGTGTCATAAAATATGAGATTTTTAGATATAGGTTCAAATGTACCTACCTTTTAAATTAAAATTAAAACAGATCTACCTCCTTACAGCATGAACAGATCATGAAGAAACTGATTTTATAAAGGAAACAGCCAGTTAGTTACATGCCAACGCTGGTGACACAGTCTTTCCAAATAAAAAAAAATTTGCTCAAGTCTTTCATTATTAAGTAGAAATTTTGCTGAAGGTTTTGAAAGCCTTGATGCAGCAGCTGTTTCTCAGACAGTGTATGTCAGACATACACTCATACAGCCTCCAAAATTCCTGTAAGAGATCTTGGGCATGCAGAGACGACCAAATTGACTGGTACAGGAAATTTCCGCAGCTTCAAAACTTGAAGTCACTATTAACTATCCAAATTGACAGACTGGAATTACATTCCTGAGCAAAAATATTCATCAAAACTTTAAGTATCATCAGCAGACTTGGTTTCGGAAATGAAAGAATTCTGAGAGTCTTGATTTCATGTTAAGCACTAAATCAGTGTTGATGTGTCAATAGTGAATTAAAGGGCTGCTAAATTCTATTGCATTCTTTAGGGGAGTTGTCACTTTAAAGTTGTCAAGGGAGCCAGAGTGGACAGAAACTTGCAGATGAAAACAGTCCTAAGACAGGTAGCCAACAGAAATGATGCAAAATGAGATCAATCTGCTGACGATTCTMCTGGTTGGCCTTATACAATCCAAAAAGACTGCTGTTGATCAATATGCAAGGCTTGAAGAATTAACTTAAACTAAGAAAAGTGTTTACATAGAGAGGTCTACCCTTCTGAAAACTGAAAAGCTGGCCCACTTTGTTCTAAACAGTTATGCCAAAAACAGTGCCAGAAAGGGATGACAAAGCTAACAGAAAAGACACTGATACTATCTGAATTGTTACAAGAAAGGGTTGGAAATTTTAACATGCTGTATCYACCCAAAGAATGCTGAAAAAGCACAAAGGAAATCTTAATCATAGTCAGAAAATGCACTTTGCTGTTCCAAGTGAGTGCAGTACAGCATTACGTTAGAAATGAATTATCAGCATTATCTTAACTAAGTCTCCTCGCTATGTGGGTGGGTGCAATGGAAGTGGGAGAGGACATTACAGYAAAGCCTTCAGAAGATCTGTTAATCATCACTTCTTTTCTCTAGCAATGGTGCTTGTGGGCTGTGACCCACCCTTGACCATAGAACTGAGGAGCTGGAACTGCCTGTGCTTGGACAATGGCATTCCTGGTTTATAATTTGTGTCCTTGGGTCCARACAATACAAACCACTCAGAAAAGGAGCCATCAGCATACCTTTATCACCACAGAAAAGGTAGCATGGTAGAAAGAATGCTTCAAACATCTCCAGAGAAAGAAAAATAGGAGGAAAAAATAAATAATGGTAATATTTTTGAATGTTTAAAAAAAAATCACAATTTTGAGGGAAGGAAACTCCATGCAAAGTAATCATGGGCTGACTTTTCAATGTCTTTTGCTGTATTGGGGGACATAAGCCTTTTCAGAAATGTGAATTTTTTTCTTCTTACTATACTTCACTTTAATAAATGCAAAACCTGGGAGTTTTACTCTCACTAAAACTAAAAGCATATACTTACTAAGCATATTCTCTTAAGCCCTAAGAGAAATCCTGAAACATATGCACATACTTCCAAATGTTTAAAATAAACCTTCTGAGAGTGACAACATAAACCAAAAATGCAATCCCTTGCTTTTTTCTTAACATTTTTATATAGTGATAACTGATAACTTTACAAGAGATAGCTAACTGTAGGTATTTAGAATTAGACTTACAGGAGCAGATTCTCTCAGTACATAAGCACCAGGGTTATTTTCTTTATATTGCTAATAACCACTGTATCAGTACAGCTGAGCACTCACACAGTCAGGAGTTCTCTTGAACAGAAATAGTCACAAGTTTATGTATCTGCAAAATCTGGCTTCTAACTAATAACAACAATAGTCATTAATGTCCTTGCAAGTGTTTGCTGCCTGGGACACATTTGGCTCACTGCAGTCCATTACATTGACATCAAAAGACTTCTATACTCACACATTCCATCTACAGCTCATAACTGTTCTTTTAAAAAGTTTAAAACTCTCAACTTTCTACATGTGGGTCACTTGATTCTGYTGAATGTTCTGAAAATCTGAAGTCAAGAACTGTTTCCTCAAAATTAATTTCATCCCTCCATTTTATTCACAGTTCTATTTGGTTAGCTGGGGGTAAACAACGTGACAATATCCAGCATCCTGAGCATCAGAAAGAACACTGTTTGTTTTTCTACATTTATATTTTTTGGAGAACACAAACACACTTTGGCACTTCAGATGAGRAGAGAATTGAGTGGAGATGGTGCTGACAGTACTAATAGCCTAAAACAAACAAAAAAAAAAAAACAAGCAACAAAATAGGGGGAAAGAACAAAGTCTTGTGTCAGTTTAGCTTTTCTTGAAGATTACTGACTTGAAAGTGATACAAAAGTGAAAAACACAATCCCTCTTTGCTTGCTTCCTCAGAACTTTAGATGCAGTCAAATTTTCCCTGGAAAAAGTCTTGTATGACATCTGTCCACGTGCTGAGCAGCTCTGTCCTTTTTACTATTTAAAGTACAAGAAATTAAAACCTCTCCATCTTAGTAGCAGTTTTATCACCTCAATCTCACATTCTCTCTCCATAGAAACATTTTATGAAAATTGCTATATTTGGAGAACTAAGAGTCAGAATTAGTSTAGTCTGTAACCTATGAAATCTCATAGCTCATACACTGTCATAAAGCAGGCATACTTAAATTTTAAAAAAGTAGGGAGTAAATACGAGCTGCAAGAAGTTCTGACCTAGAGCAAAATAACATGCCACGAATGCAGCTTCTGAAACCAGCCATTGAGTCAGTACATGGCAAAAAAAMCTCTCRATTTTTTAATACACTAAGCAYATTATTAACACAATAAATGTATCACATACTACTGATATAAAGATAATAATTGTCATTCATAAAGCTTTCTTATCAGCACCCTAACGACAGAYTAACCAYCAGTTTACAGAACAGCCAGGAAAACACACAAATTATTTTACCTCACTTTATTCGACTTTACCTCACACAAAAGCATCACCATGTCAGTTATCCAATTTGTACAAGAACCTCATGAATTTATTTTTCATTTACTCTTATKTAAAGAGCATAAACTGCCAAGTTCAAATATTTTGGACCTTCCTACYTTTTCCTCAGTCATATTCAGATCCACAACCAAGAGCTATGCAGGAGATGCTCTACACTCACACACTCAAACAATCAAGGTGGTGTCAGATCAAAGGATCTTGTGGTGTTTTCATAAGAGCAGTGTAAAAGGTTTAATAACAAGTTCTGAAAATTGTAATGCTTCCAGTTCAAAGMAAACAGCAATGACGTGATTTGTCTTGTTATTACAAATTGTGCAACCTCTCCTCATGCATAGTCTAGAAGTTACTACCAATGATTTTTTRTGAAAACATAAAAAGCATCCAAAATGCTAAGCACCAACTGTTTCATTTCTTGTTAGTGACAGTCTTTCCTCTTGATTTCAAGAGGCAAAAACTTGCCTGTTCTAAATATATCTGAAAGTCCTATTCATCAAGACTAATGCTATTTATTTGGAATACCAACACTAGACAAATKGGGAAAAAATTCTCTTACCTTTGCTTGCTGTAGCCAGGAACAACTGAAGTAAAAAGACTGCTTGAACWATCCTGAATCTCAAGAAAATGTCCTGTATTCTGCCAACACAGCAGTGCTGTTTTCCCCAGGCAACCATTCTAGAATAAATAAATAAAAAAATAAAATAAACCACAATGACTAGAAAACATGTAGGTGTGTGGACATTATGATAAAATATGTTTCCAACTTAAGTCTTTTCAACCTTGTTATACTATTGGGTACACATTGCACAGAAATGCACAGATATTCTGTATATTGCCAAGACACTAAGAGAGCTGCTTCTGAAAGGAAAAAAAACCCAAACCCAAAAAAATTCACTCATGCTTTAATTCTCCAAAGACCCACAAATATACGAGAGCATGGCCATGACTACTTGCACCAATGACACTTTCAACATTTGAAAAACAAACAAAACCCTCCAAAGATTCACACACAACAACAAAAAACCCAACTCAACACTGACAGAGCAAGCACAGAGAGGTTATCCAGAAAGATTTATTAATCTCAGAAAGTATCTCTTCAGTCCACTATGTGTTCTCTCGTGTGACACTTTAACACCACTGTTAACTCCCAAGCAAGAAGCAAGATTTGATTCCCAATCCTCACATTATTATGAAGGCAAGAAGTTATTGCAAGACAAAAAAAAGAAATGCCACAAATCACTGAGGGCAGCAAGTTCAGGGTATCATGAAAACCTGGTCTGTCCACATTTCTTCCTAGTGATGGATGGAATTTGCCTTCTATTATAAGAGATACCATTCTATGAAATATTTTTTTAAGATCTTCTCAAATTAAAGGTACATCTCAATATTTTGCACGCTGAAAGAAACACTGAGGTACTCTTAAATAAAATAGCTTTATGGTAGAACAGAGCATTCTGCCYGAAAGCAGTTTAACTTTGCCATCACAAATTTCAAGTGTATTGGCCAGCACTCCCACTGCTCACAAACTGCATCCTGCTGCTCATACGTGTCAGGCTGCAGCAGGTTCCCTTCTTTTAGCCACTGTAAATGGTGAACACTTTCAGGAGTTTCAAATTTTTTAAGGTGAGGGCTAATTTTTTTTTTAAAGCATTCACACAAATGTAGGTATTTATTAATATACCATAGTTACTATGGGCTGAACTCTGCAAGAGAAGTGCCAGAAAAACAGTGAAGTTGCTAAGTAATTGAAATGTTGGAAACTGAGTAAATGCACATGCAAGTAAATTATACACATTTAACAACATAACACAGAAAGCATAAAGCAAAGGCTTTTTAAAAATTAAGAGCACTGCAACATTATTGCCAGTGTTTTCAAGAATTATGCATCATACAGTACTTCTAACAAATATATGCTAAAACAATGGTAATATCTAATATACACAATTCTATGCAAGAATAGATCAAAACCAAACAAAAACAACTAAAAAGAGGCAAGAAATGGCAAAGGTGGGCTAGCTTTCTAAAGATCCCCAGGAAACATGTTCAAACCTGTCCTCAGCTTGCTTCTCTAAATGCCTAAAAATCATGTATGAATAAAGTTGTTCAGTCAGGAAACTAAGYAGCAGAATTACATTAATGATCCTAAGAACCTGATAATGAAAACTATTGTGCTTAAATACATTGATAACTTCAAGGCCTGTGCATCTACAATACCATTTCCTAAGATTAAAAGAGATGCTAACTCAAAAACTGTGTGTCCTTTCTTTGCTTACTCACACTTCCCATTCYAGTGGCAAATCAGGCCACTTCCAAGCAAAATCAAGCTGCATATCTATTTTTCCACTTTATGAGGTAATCTTTTGTACATGAAACCATCCATCCATAGTGAAGTATTTAGACAACAAAAAAAAACCACAAATTCCAGTATTCCTTGTCTCTACTACCTAGACACCAACAGGTAAAATGTTTATGGGATGGAGCCCAAAATACTCAGTGGCATCCACAAGTGTAGGTAGCCATGGATGCTGGCAAGYAATGAGGCAAGCTGCTTGCTTTGTGTCACATATGATGCTGATTTGATCTCATCTGGGGGTTTTTGRCATTGGTCTCACCTCCTGAGATGGSCCTGGCAAAGACAAGTAGGGATAGAATTACAGCTTCTTGTTCACTGAACACAGTCACATCAAGAACTCTGAAACTATTCAAAACTACGAATGAAAATTAATGATCCTGGGCAAAGCAATAAAATCCAGATAGCAGGAACTGAGTAAATGTGTAAAGAGAAATACTGATATGGTCACAGCTCAAATGACTTTTTGCAAGACTTTGGACAGTTACACTAGGTCAAGATTTGTTGATGCATTTTCAATAGGATTAAAGACAAAGACAGTGGAAAATAAAAATACAGCTGTTTGTTCTATAATGTATTTTGTTAAATTAAATTTCACAATTTCTGTTGAAAATACATATTTACTGGCAGTCTTTAACATTTAACAAACTATTAGTTTTTCATGTTAAGTTTTAGTCAGAGCAGGTTCTCACTGCCAATGCAGAGTGATAAATAAACAGTTGGTTACAGAAAATTCTGCTGGAAATCATGATCCAAAGCAATCACTCATTTACTTCCAAACATGCTGCCTACTGCTGCACTTCAAACTGTTTTGTTCAAATCACACTTATTTCATCCGTAGTCTTTGGGTCCCATTCTGTTTTCTGTAGTCATCCCCTACYAAGATTTCTGATTTCAATGAAAGTATTTCCCAAATTTATAGAAGTTACTGTTGRGGAGGAGACTAGTAATGAATGGCAAGCTTCTGGCTGCTGTTCTGTGACATTCTGCCTTATTTAAATCTATWCCAGGTGATAAAAAGCTAACAAGAGCAAGAGAAACACATCATACTGCCCAGGTATGAGAACTTCTGGATGTCTTTTCTTTCAGAAATGTAAGCCTGTAGACTTCTTCCATCAGCTCTTTATATTTTCCAGACTGGAACCAAAATGCAGTAAAGTTTTTATGTTATTTTTAAATTTTGGCTGAAACAACTTAGATGTAATAGGGAGGACACTTATGATGGAAACTCTTGTGTCACAGTAAATCTTGGCACATACAGTATTCRCTGACTTAACAGCAGAACTAGCACCATTGATTTTAAAATGTTGTTCCATGGGGGGGAGGGGGGTTTATGTGTTTTTCCAGAAGATGGTAAGAGGATTATTACTGTCTGATAGTAACCTGGTTTTCATTAATTTTCTCCAGTGTTAACCATGTCTGCAAAAATTGTATTCTACAGTCACCATGTTCATACAGTCACTTTATGTAGAACACCAGCATTTTCTAAGACTGTAATGTGTTCAAGCACCTTCCTTCTGATATAAATCTTTACTGTTTTCAAAGATATTAAATATTTTATTTTTTAGTAAGTTGGCGTAGAGAGAGCAACACGCCACTTAGTTACAGACATCAGTCATCTGCAAAACTCTCAGCTTGTTGATTCAGTTCTTAGCAGAACTGAACAGGAGGAAGAACCCTCTGAGAAATCCATTCTTTTGTTTAGTCTTTCAACTGTTGCAGTATAGTGCCATTAGAAAGACTTTTAAATGTAYTTTATATTACAAATACCAAGATTTGCAAGCCAAAGTCTGCCTTTACTTCAATGCACAGATTTCCCCTTAGATTCATGCAAAAATGCAAACTTAATTACTAAGGCCTGTGTAAGTGAATTCAGTAATGTAATATGCTTTTGGATGCCTCTCCATTACGGACCTCAGTGCCAAAAAAACCCCACTTTTGGTATTTAATTTTCTGATATAGCAACTTGTGTCCTATGTAGTTAAAAAAATGGGACAGGAGACAAGTACAAGCAATTTTTTGTTCCCTCTTATCCAGACTGTAAATGTTTCACCTCCTCCTATCCAATYGTCACCTGGGAGATGAGCAAGAGGCCTCTCTCTTGCTCTTATAAAAGTTTTACACTATGCAGGAAATCCTTGTCTGCATGGTGTTTTCCCTCAAGAACACAGTATAACCCACACCCCCTATTAATTCTAGAGCAAACTAAAAAGCCCTTCAGTGACAATGGCTGAGCAGGTTTCCTCTTRAAAGAGTTTACAATGAACTGATGAAGTAAGAAAAGCAGAGATGCAATAAAAGTATTACGATTGTCACAAGTCTGATTATTTCAACTTTAGGAACATTGTTTATATTTTCATTAACACTTTGGGGTATGGATGTATATAGGTTTTATGGAGGGGGAAACAATAAAATGTGTTCATAGAGCAGAAGACTGAAAAATACAACGAAGACCACACAAAGGTTGGTGCATCAAAAAAGATTAAAGGAACCCTGAGCTGTGTAAAAGCATAAGAAACAGTATACAGACATATAAGCACAAAAAAMAAAACAACCAAAAAGTTTTCAAAAACCTTTGTATTCAATTACAGGACTTGATTTGATGCACAGAGAAAGAGGGAAGGACAAAGAGTTTTCTAAACCTCAAGTATTCATATCAGTGAACAATGTAAGCAGGCTCTGAGGARTCAACTGAGGACTAGGCCTGCCAAAAGAAGACTGTCCAGCTCATGCTTTCAATTTTCCCACTTAAAATAAAAAAATTTTAAAAAAAGAGTTCTGAATGTTTCATCTTACTGTAAGTGGGGGAAAATAAATAGTTGTTTCTGCTCAGTTTACACTTTTCTTCCCTACTCCCCTGTCCAAGCTCTCTTGGCTTGAACAGCAACACCCTAAAAAAGAAATTACACTGTGATTTCATCCTAAGCTTCACTTTATGGACTTAACAGGATCTTGGAGCTTGCACTTGGAGCTGTTAAAATTTCTCTGGAAGCTTAGGAGMACAATCTTTGGTGAAGGTTTTTGGTTGGGGGAGGGCTGGTTGTAACAATCTCTCAGATTGTTTCAGTCAAGAGCCCAATGACCAAGATAAACAGTTTGTACCAAAGAAATAAAACTTATCAGTTTGGAAAGCTGGATGCACTGAAGCAAACATCTTCCAAAGYCCCACYAAAACTCTGATACAGAACACGGCAYCACYACCCTATACAGCCTAAGGAAAYACAGTCACATTGGCACTTCAGTCTCCATWTGGGGTAAATATTTAAGGAACTTCTATGAAGACATTGTAGGAAACAAGGTTATTCCAGACCAGCATTCTGGGTCTACTTTAGCACTACTCCTCCCCAGGGTTCGATGTGAGTCTCTGCAAGGGGACAGGAAATGCTATCATTGCCCATATTAAACCACTTCAACTGAAACAACTCAGTCAATAGCAAACATTAGTAAATACTTGAATTGTCAAATTGAAAGTCATCACACACGTGAGTAGATGACYTGAAAGCAACTTCAGAACAGTTTATTTAAACCTGAACCATTCCTGTGTGCAGCCCCCAAAATGCATCAGATCAAAAAATTCACTTTGTACAACCACATTTCACATGGCTTTTTTCATCATCACCACCTCTATTAAAAAAAATAGCGACTAGCCTTCTCAGAAATAAACCACAATAACCATATCGCTGACTTGCCAAAACATAGATGAGGGTGACAGAAATAAAGCATTTTTAATTCAACTTTTACGAACACTTGGACTATGCTATGAATAAGTAATGGTGGAACAGTCACTTCAAAACATAAATCCCATCAGAAACCCATTCAGTCAGCTTACGTCCATAATTAATTTGGACCCAAAGAAACAAAGATATTCAAAGTCTGGTTGGGAAATTAARTGTGGAATTTGGCAGCAATCACCATTGAGCATGCCCAAATGTCTAATAAATCCAGGCAGAGAGGCACAGTAACTTTTTTCTTTAAATAAAGGGACTAATTAAGAGAATATTTTGAACACTACAAGCATCAGYAAAAGATGCTGAGTTTTGTTATGTGTGCACAATAACATTTCCATAATTATAATAATACATTACCCCTTGTCTTTCTAATTCTGCCATTTTTAAATGTGTCACATCTTGTCAAACATGTCAACTTCTGGCAAACCCTCTGAAGGATCTCTTAGACCTTAACTCCTCAATGATTCCTTTAAGGAAGACCATAAATGAGAACACCATAAATGAGARCACCATAAATGAGAAMAGTGCTTAATTTGTGAGGGGTTCTTCTTTTTTGGTAACTAAAGCATCACTTGAGGTACTCATGTAAATTACAGAAAACAAATACTGTGATAAACTCTAGTAATTTTCTGTAAATTCTACAGACTGAAAAAGTCTTTTAAGCAGATTGGGGAACTTTATAAAATATTTCTCTTCTATGTAYTGCCTCATTTAGTATAACTGACATTCTACAGTTTTCTTTTAAAACAAAAAAAAACCTAATCATGTTACTAAATATAATTTTCCTTTGAGATCTTAAGAACACTGTATTCAAGTAGCCAGCAAAGGAGGGCCTAGAACAGAACAACAAAATCACATTTTTATAAGGCAGTAGCTGAAAAGCAGCTGTTGTGTCAAACAGTATTTATATTTCTGTGCTGCAGCACTCATCCATAAAGGAAAGACAGAAAATGCTGAGTCTAGGGCTTGAACTKCCAGATACACTTGTAAAATCTTCTATTAGTTCCACTGCAAAACACCTGCAATGAAACTGTCCTGAAGCTAAAGTAGGCAGCACTCACAGGTTGAGGACCTGTGGTATACAAAATGTTAAGATCACAGTGAAGACAAATCTGTGTAACTCATGTAGGGAAGAATTTGAGATCTGTTTTTTTTTGTCTTTGATTTAATATCAGCTACAAAAGATCCTTTGTCCATCCTGAATAACAATAAATTTCGTAAGTATTTTGTCACAAAAGGAATGCAAGAATCCCAAGTAACTGATTCATATTAATTACCCTATAGCTACACAAGCCTTTTTCATGGAGCAATTATAGATCCTTCCCACACTGTAACTCCACCAGGAATTTATGACTGGGAAGAGKAAGAGCCTCATAACCTTGAGCACCTATCTAACAAATGAAAACAATCAACTCCATTCATGTTCACAAGCTGAGAAGCACCTACCAACAAATGAATATTCTCTAAGTCCTTGCATTTGGAAAAGAGCAAAGCTTTTAACTGAACCTAGATAAAAAACCACCAGTAGAAAGCTAACATTTCAGGCCAAATAACAAACCTTATTCATGCTAATTTTTACATTGAAGTCTATGAGATTACTTGCATGAGCTACCCTTATTTTGGCCTTCAAATAATCTAATCTAGTATTCCACTGACAACATAAAACTTCAAACTCAAGTGTAGTGATCAGTTTTAAAGCTASACTGCATTTGCCAAGATGACTGTTACATACTAAAAACTAAAAATGGTCTAAATTCGACAAGAGTTATTCGCCCATTAAGTCCAAAACTTTCTCAATCTGCCAACACTCTACAGTTACTAGTGGAAGACCTGACTAAAAGAACTCATGGCATAAAAAGTATAAATTGAGTAATTAACTTGAGAATGGCAATTTAGTCTTTCATCTCTCTCCAACTGGCCCTAATCTGAGCCAATTTCTGTTGATGTATTAAAAACAGAAGTTTGACTTTAAATTTGGAAGGCACTGAAGGAAAAAGAAAATGCTAACAAACTCCATTTGATCTACAGAATTACTCTAAGATACTAAAGTAGTATTACTAAAGATACCAATAACTAGTTCACTAGGTATCATAGAAATAACATAGTATTATCTTGCAGTTGGTAGAAAATTTTATGGCCACTATTTGTATCTGAGCAAATTTTGTTTATGTGCAATTTCTTTCCTGCATCTTCTTTCAAAGCATTTCACTTTAGACATTTGCCTTCATCATTAAATTAAAAAGTCTGCTTCCTTGCTAGGCAAGTACTTGGAGATCCTCCCAAGCAAAGATGTATTTTTTGTTCTTTAGTTTAATTCAAAATAACACAGTGAAAGCAACAGAGTCCAGTGGTGTTATAAAGACTACTCATGAACGGTAAAACCTATAGATTTGCAAAGCAAAAGTAAATTCAGTCAAGGAAGGATGCTTCCAGTACACTTAGCCAGTGGACATGACCAAAAAACCCAGAGAACCCTTCTCTTAGAAATAATTCTTGTGCACAAAAAGGTGACTCTGAAGACATCCTTTTCAGTGATACAGGCTTCTTTGCAGAATATATATATATTAAAAAAAAAAAAAAGCAGGGAAAACTTTTGGGCTGGATATATTCTCTGCACCCGCTCCCATAGAAAAAAAAAAAATCCCCCACCCAGTGTAGCAATATCGTCCCAACGGGACACCACCCCGTCTCTCCGTCTAAACCGCATTCAAACCCCACCGACCTCTGCCAAAATCACTCACTCTTTAAGCCAATTTAAATACATTACTTAATGTTTCTCGCCGTTGATTWAGCGTTTAAAATAATGCTGGAAAGCAGACTTTTCCGCCAGCAGCAGCAGCACGGAGAGCTGTACCCGGTGAGGGGCGCGGTGCTGCTCCGGACGAGCCGGGCCGCGCTCCCGCAGCCCCTGAGACCGGCACCGGCCCGGCACGAGTCCCAACGGGCCCGGCCGCACCGCGGGACCGTCCCGCTCAGCCCCCGAGCCGCAATGCSCTCCAGGGCAGGGCCCGGGACCGAGCGGAGCCGCTGGTCCGGGCGGTGGAGGGCAGAGCTCCCCGACCTGCGCTCCTCCGTYCACCGCCACCACGGGAGCTCCCCGCCCTCACCTCCCTCGTCCCTGCGGGGAGAGTCGGCGGCAAAGCCCATCCCGAGGGAGCCTGTGCCTGCCGGCCCCTCAGCGCCGCTCACCYCCACCCGGCTCWGCATTRCTGCCATCCCCGCAGTTCCCCGYGCTGCCGATCCCYCCCGGCCCCTCAGCGCCGCTCACCTCCACCCGGCTCAGCATTGCTGCCGATCCCTCCCGGCCCCTCAGCGCCGCTCACCTCCACCCGGCTCAGCRTTRCTSCCAYCCCCGCMGYTCGCCGCGCTGCCGATCCCTCCCACCCTCGGGAGACCCCCCCGCCTCCGGCCGCCCCTGCTCCCGCCAGCCCGCAGCCGCTCACCTGGCGCCGGGCGGCCGCCCGTCCCCTCCGTGCTGTCCCCTCCGTGCTGTGCTCTCCCGTCCGTGCTGTCCCGTCC